GAACAAAAAAATATACTGATCAGTTTACCAATTAACCTCTTTCCTAATGTTATGAAGCAGGTTAAAATGTTTTAATTAATCCCATTCCTATATACTATATACATATAGCATATAGGCTATATAAGAATCGGTTGAATTAATTATATTTATATTATATTTTAATAATTAAACCAAACACATTTCAAAAGATGTTTTAAACAAAAAAAAATATACCAATCAGTTTCCCAATTAACCCCATTTCTAATGTTATGAAGCAGGTTAAAATGTTTTAAGGAACATTTGATGTCTCGCCCCAAAATTAATACCCTTCGGCTAAACAGTTGTTGTAGCGTAATTTTAAGTGTCGAATCCACAAAGAAGCTATATTAAATCAACAAAAAGAATTGTCACAATGAGAAATTAAATTAAAAGATGAATTCTAAAATTAAGAATAAAAATATTTGAATAAAAGATGATAATTATAAAAGATTGAAAATAACATTATGATGAACAAGACTTCAGGGTTCACTTAATTAATTTGTTTAACTGTTATAAATTTTGATTCATATTTATTACTCAATTGTATGTTTCACATCCCAAACAAACAATAAGAAAATTTAACTCTGAAGATTAATAATAATAACTAATGTATTTATTTTGAGATAAATTAATTTCAATAAAGAACAAATTGATTTATCATAATTATCATTATGAGCTATCCAAGAACGACAATATATCTAATTGACAATACTACAGTAAAGAATCAACTCGCAAAACAAATCATCAATCAATTATATCCTAACAAATCACACATAAAAAAAGCATGACTAATCTTATATGAAATTTGATAAATATAATTTTCAAGGTTTTTAAATCTAAAAAATAATTAATAATCTCTTAAAAATAAAATTAAATAATAAAATTCATGAAAAAATTAAAATAAAATAATAAATCAAACTCCTCAATTCAGATCTTCTCTAATCTTGTTGAAAGTTTAGCTACCTTTGATATAATTCTCTAATCTTGAAAAAGAAAAATAGAAGTCTAGGAACTGTTTCTCTAAATGCTAAACTTAGTTTTCAATGCTCCTATTTATATTAAGAATAAAATAGGAGTGTTTGGTAACTAGGATAGCAACCTAGGGAATTATTATTATTATTTTTTTCTTCCTGCATAGCCTCGTCGGTGAGGGGTCTGGAACCTACTTCAGGCTGCGAAACCCCTGATGCTACTGTTTTGTGCCACATTGATCAGGGGTCGGAACCTGCTTCAGGTTGCGGAGCCCTGATGCTACTGGAATTCCTTTTGCGCTGGTAACGGCAACTTCACGGACTTGCGAATTTTGCTCTTAATCAAATATGGATATATTTCACTTTAGCCTTCAAAGTTCCAGATTCATACTTGGATCCTCATCTTTCCAGCTCTTTGCATTTAAGTTCTTTTGCTCTAATTCTTCTCCACTTAACATCAAACCTTTAATCATCACAAAATTTGCACAATATGAATAAAATGAATACTTATGAAATTATTTATAAGAAAATACAACTCTTAAACCCATAATTCTACAAATGTCATTGATTAAGCACACTTTAAATATACATTTTCTTTCTTTCATCAACATTCGATTTCTATTGAAAATTATTGGAGGGGCAACTGCAGCAAAGATACAGTAGCCAATGTGGTGTTGAAAAGCTCAATAAAAGGTCAGCCATTTCCCAACTATGACAAAAATTACAACAGATTAGTTTTAGAGGCAAGAGTTTCATTACAAAATAAAACAGGAAAAACCATCCAAACTTACAGCTCTTCAATAAAATTAATAAAAAAAAGTGTTGCATAATCTATACTGTAATTGACTGTACAACATAAATGATTAAATAAGGTAAAACCCCATAATATTTGAAGCTACTTCCATTTTTATTATCCATTCTGCTATTACTAACTACAAAATAAAGAATTCATGAATAATTGTGTCTGGCTTTAATATCTCTTTTAGGAGGAAAAAAAAAAATTGTGCTAACCGATTTCGTCAACCCTGCTACACGTGGGAACAAAAAAGTCAGCAAGGTTGATATTCCATGCTGGAAATGTGTTCGTTAAAATGTTAGAGAAAATTTTAGTTGGCAATGCTCAAATAATAGCAAAAATCATTTTTATTGCATCCTTAATTGAAATAGACGTTGAAAAAAATCCAAAAAAAGACGTCAATTTAGGGTGTGAAAGCAATTTTTCTTTAGAATTTTTTTTATGGAAAATAAAGATTTTATTAAAATTTAAAGTTGAGATTACATCTAAATCTCTATATTATGGAAATTATAGCATAAATAAAAGTATAATTTATAGCACTGGATATATACTTAAACTATGCTGATTACAAGTACAGATACTTAAACATAAAGAGTTATTTGTACCTAAATATTACAATAGCAATAACCATAAGGGCATGATAAAGCTACAAATGAAGGAAGAAAGTCATTGTGAGCATTAAGTTACTAGACATTTTGAATTTCTATGTCAGCTTTCTTGGAGAGGGTAGGTATTTAGACTAATAATAATCACTTCCCACTTATAGCCTTACCACATTCATGGTGTGATTATCTTGGTGGGTAACGAGTGTTCCTTCCTTCCAAAACATTCATAGATAATTAGGCAAGATTGGGAATTAAGGAATTCTAGTACCCTTTTATCATAACTCAAAATTTTGCCAATAATAAGAATAATATAATAATAATTTAATTACACAATGAATAAATTAAATTTTGCCTTAAAATTAGTTTAATTAACTTTATTTTTTATGTTTCAGGGTTTGACCGTGAAACAGATAATGTTTGAGCCGGAATTTTGAAGAAAAATGGCAGAATCAAACTTATGTGAAGAAATTTGCAAAAAGGGGAATGTGCAAAAAGGGAAAACATTCTCCTATTGGGGCCTAATTGCATCAAGACCCAATTCAAAATCATACAAAAGCCCGATCCATATACAAATCTGACCCAAGCCATTTTTGAAGAAAAACCCTAGCAACCTAAAGAGTGAGGAAGCCACACAAGCGGATCAGGATTTGAAAAGGTGGATTTGGCAGTAAAAAAGGAAATCCCTGAAAAATCTTCTATAACCAGTTAGCCTCTCCCAAGTGAGAAAGTATGGGGTATCACCAGGATACCACGTCAGTGGTATGGTATCCCAATTCAATTAAAAACCACCGCATCAACCTTTTTTTACATCTCATCAATTACCAAACAGAGAGGCAAACAAACACCAAATCTAAATTTAACTCACGGTAAATTAACTCATGGCAAATCCTTTCAAAATAAAGTTTTCAACAGACTCTCTTTTTAGCATCTCTCAAGCCCTTCCTTCAACGCAAAGAAGTTGATTTCGTTTCATACCAACCGGTATGGTCGATACATATCAGTTTTTTCATTAATCCGAAATGGTACAAGGTTCAATTCTGTTTCGGTCAAATTTCACCCATTTTAGTCAAATTTAATGTACCGGCTGGAACATTGAAAATTGGCCGGTACAAATGAATTCAAATTTAAAAAAGGGCAAATTCCATTTTTGGTCCTTAACTTTAATGTTTTACATAATTTTCATCCTTTAACTTTTTTATGTACTTTTTTAGTTGATCAACTATGAAAAATGTATTTTTTTAGTCTTTCTGTCAGTTACTCTGTTAAGTTTGTCTAAATATATACATTTTTAGTCCCTTAACTTAAAGTGAAAAGATGAAAAATATGCATATGTTAGAGTTGAGGGACTAAAAATGTGTATTTTTTTATCCCTTTTAACAATTTCAAATTTAGACTTCTAGTTCTCAATGCTCACCGGATGTTGCTCTCCCTTCTCAATAATATTTTGGTTTGTCTTTTGCATTCTTGTTATACTTAAAAGACATGATTCCTTCCCTTGTGGAAGCATTTTGTATTGTAAATTGTATAATATTAAATCTAAAACACTGTTATGCTTTCTAATATTATCTTAATGTTCGAAAAAAAAGAAAAAAATTATGGATGTTTTATAAAGTTGGCCATTTTAAACTTGTTTTCAATTTATAGGAATATAATGATTCTAAACATCAGTTTCTCTTATTATTATTTTAAAATTTGATATATAATTTATAAAAATATATATTTATAACGATAAATCCGAAATTATAAGCAAAAAATTCCAATACCCAATATGTACCATTCCAATAGCAAAACTGATACGTATGCCAATATGATGTTGACTACTTTGCTTCAAAGTCTTTTTCCCTTTTTCCTTTTCTTTTTTTTTTTTTAATTTCTAATTTTATTTCTATACACAGCTACCATATTCCTCTCTTCACAGCATCTATAGAGGCTCACCAAACTCTCTCTTCAGCATCTCCCCAACCCTTCCTTCAATGTCTTTTTTTTTTTTCTTTTTTTTTTCTTTTTAATTTTATTTCTGTACACAGCTACCATATTCTTCTCTTCAATGCATCTGTAGAGGCTCACTAGTCATAACCATTACAATTTGAGATTGCAATTGCAAGTTTTTTGGTGAAACTAACTATTAAGTTTCTCTTGCTTGGGTATAGCTATTTTTAATTAATAATTTGCAGTTGCTAAGTTTTGCTTGTGCGATTTGTGGATGTATGCCTTTTGTATGCCTATCCTTTCACATTTATACTACGACTGCATCTTACAACTTGCACTTCCTTTTTATTAAATCCCCCCAACTTGCACCCAATCTTCTACAACCCTTACATCACACAACTTGCCATTTTCTCTATTTTATTAGAACATGCCCCCACCCATGCAAATGCAATTCTCCAACGGGAAATTTCTAGGTT